AACTGTGATTCATCTTTGTAAAAAAAAAAAAAACAACAAAAAAAACATGTTAAAGAAGGAACGTTTTCCCAACTTGAGCAATGGAAAGGGACTTGTTGTAATGGTCTTCTCATATTAAATGAGTCATTTGTGTTGATGTTTGGGTATTTTGTACTGAGCGGCAGTAGCTTCATTCATTTGCACTGTTAATCTTTTTTTTGTGTTTGGGTTCAGGCAAGGGCACAAGATGTTTCCCCTTAATTATATTTCCTATCACCACTGGGAACATCCCAACCTTTTTATTTTGTGTGGCAGAAATGTTGTTTTCTCAGATTTATCCTACTGACCCGTTGTGGGAGTCCAGACCATAGACTGAGTGTAAAAAGTGGACGCAGTCACTGTGATGTTGAATCCTAGAGTTCTGTATTTTATCCGTTGCCATCTGGTTTTTTTGCAAAAACAAGTGACACAAGAGGGTGGAGCTAAGTACAACCCGACGTTGTATAAGACATTTTTAGGCAACCAAAATATTAAAATTAACTTTCACGAACTGAAAAAGTTCAAAAACAAAAACATGGACAACTCCCAGACCGGACAACGCCATGGTAGCGACCTGTCAATCACAAGGTAGCCCCGCCCTAAAGCATACCTTGCTCTTTTGTCCATTTTACTCTAAATTTAATCCTAATTTACTAAATGAACATCATACTGTATTGAAGAAGACTTGAAACTAGAGATTGAGACCATAAACTCATGTTTACAATGTTTACTGAGGTAATAAATCAAGAGAGAAGTAGAGTCATTTTCTCTTAGATTTCTATACAACCAGAGGAGTCGCCCCCTGGTGGACACTAGAGAGAATGCAGCTTTAACACATTGACTTCACCTCTCAGAACCAGAGGTTGCCGTCTGGTCCTGACCCACTGGTTGGGAATACAACACCCTAACACAACAGAATATATATATTTTTTGATCATTTCCAATTGAGATTTTATGCTTGCTATGCATTTTGACCAGTATGCGAAATATTTTCAACCACAACATATATGAGTTCCAAGAATTTGTTTTCTGACATAATTCCAATTTTAGCATTGCTGCACAGTCAAGTGTGTTTTTGCTCTGCTAGATAAGCTTACAATCAATAAAAACATCTTTGCATCAAACACACTTCCTCCGTCAGAACAACCACAGCCTTTGTCTTGTCAGACATACATGGCACTCTCTGTCTGCATGTGAAAATCTCTCCTTCTGGGGTCACAGCGGCTATGCATCCCTTTTGTTTTCTGTGTGGGCAGCTTATCTTTTCTATCTGCTCATGTTTCCTTATTTGGCCTTTCCTGCCAGCAGATGACGTGTGATGTCACAACAGTCATCAGAGCTTGAGATAAAAGATGACGCTGGGATGTGTGTGTGTGTGTGTGTGTGTGTGTGTGTGACAGATATATATAGAGAGAAAGTATTTGTAGGTCAGAGTGCCTCAAAGTATTTCAAGAGAGGCAGCATGTGTGCAGAAAGTGTGTTTATTTCTGGACTTGTGTTTTGTGTATCTGTCTGTGTGTGTGTGTGTGTGTGTGTGTGTGTGTGTGTGTGTGTGTGTGT